CTCAGCCTCCCAAAGGTGCAGGATTACAGGCTGAGCCACCGAGTCCGGCTTTTTTTTTATTTATTGTAGAGGTGAGGTCTCACCATATTGCCCAGGCTGGTCTCGAACCCATGAACTCAGGCAGTCCTCTCACCTTGGCTTCACAAAGTGCTGGGATTACAGGTGTGAGCCACTGTGCCCGGCTACAAAATGAAATTTTATTTATTTATTTATGTATTTATCTTTGACTTGGAGTCTCACTCTTGTTGCCCAGACTGGCGTGCAGTGGCATGCTCACGGCCACTGCAGCCACAACCTGCTGGCCTTAGGTGATCCTTCCACCTCAGCCTTCCAAGTAGCCAGACCTACAGGCACATGCCACCACGCCTGGCTAGTTTTTTGATTTCTTGTAGAGATGAGGTTTTGCCAAGTTGCCCAGGCTGATATTGAACTCATGGGCTCAGGCAATCCTCTCACCTCGGTTTCCCAAAGTGCTGGAATTATAGGCATGAGCTATTGCGCCTGACCGATAGAGATTTAAAAAAAAAATCTTTTCCCCAGGAAAAAGTGAGGACATTTAAAGTGAATGTTAGGCCAGGCTCGGTGGCCCAGCCTGTAATCTCGCGCTTTGGGAGGCTGAGGTGAGTGAATTGCCTGAGCCTGTGGGTTCGAGACCTGCTCGGGCAACTTGGCAAGACCTCATCTCTACAATAAATCAAAAAATTAGCTGGGTGTGGTAGCACGCGCCTGTAGTTCCAGCTACTTGGAAGGCTGAGGTGGAAGGATCGCCAGGGTCCAGCAGGACGAGGCTGCAGTGGCTGGGAACGGCCACTGCACTCCAGTCTGGGTGACAGAGTGATACTCCAACTCAAAAAATAAAATAAAATAAAATAAGCCGGGCTTGGTGGCTCAGCCTGTAATCCTGCACTTTGGGAGGTTGAGGTGAGTGGATTGCCTGAGCCCGCTGGTTCGACACCCACCTGGGCAACTTGGCAAGACCTCATCTCTACAATAAATTAAAAAATGAGCCGGGCGTGATAGCGCACACCTGTAGTTCCAGCTACTTGGAAGGCTGAGGCGGAAGGATCGCCGGAGCCCAGCAGGTCGAGGCTATGGTGGCCGGGAGCGGCCACTGCACTCCAGTCTGGGCAACAGAGTGAGACTCCAACTCAATATAAATAAATAAATAAAATAAAACAAAGTGAATGTTAGGAGTCAGGGATTCTAAATCTATAAAGACTATAAAATGTTACATTCATTCAAGGAATATTCTTTGAACACCTCCTTTTGTTTTTTCTTTAAGAGCTGTTCTGCCCATTGGGCTTATAGCAATGAACCAGCCAGGCAAAGCTCCTGCCTTCCGGGAGCCCACAATCTAGGTGAGGAGACAGCAGATAATAAATGAATACAAATGGACGTGGTAGCATATGATACATGAAAAAAATAGAAAAGCACAGAAAGAGCACTGGTGTGTGGGGGGTCTGACGCTAGCTAGTGTGAGTATAAGAAGGCCACTCTGAGCTGGTGACATTTGAGTAGGGCATTGATGAGAAAGAGCCAGCCATGGGGAGGAAGCCTGGGTGGAGGAAACTGTAGGGGCAGAGGCTTAGAGGACAGATCTTATCTGGTGATTTAAAGTGCAGCAGAAGGTTGGGCACAGTGGCTAACACCTATCATCCCAGCAATTTGGGAGGCTGAGGCGGGAGGGTTGCTTGAGCACAGAAGTTTGAGACCCGCCAGGGCCACATAGTGAGACCTCATCTCTACAAATAAATAAAATTTAAAATAAATAAAATAAAAGTGCAACAGAGGGCAACCCCTTGGGGCCCCCTCCCACTGTTTGAGCTTTTCTGTCCTCTCAATAAATCCTGCTTTAACAAAAAATGCAGCCAGGCTCGGTGGCTCAGCCTGTAATCCCGCGCCTTTGGGAGGCTGAGGTGAGTGGATTGCCTGAGCCCGCAGGTTCGAGACCCGCCTGGGCAACGAGACCTCATTTCTACAACAAAAATAAAAAAATCAGCCGGGCGTGGTAGTGCATGCCTGTAATTCCGGCTTCTTGGAAGGCTGAGGCGGAAGGATTGCCGGAGCCCAGCAGGCGAGGCTGCAGTGGCCAGGAGCGGCCACTGCACTCCAGTCTGGGCAACAGAGTGAGACTCCAACTCAAAAAAAAAAAAAATGCAGCCAGGCTCAGTGGCTCAGCCTGTAATCCCAGCACTTTGGGAGGCCAACGTGAGTGGATTGCCTGAGCCTGCAGGTTTGAGACCAGCCCGGGCAAATTGGTGAGACCTCGTCTCTACAATAAAAAACAGCCTGGTGTGGGTAGCGCATGTCTGTAGTTCTGGCTACTGGGAAGGATCACTGGAGCCCAGCAGGTTGATGCTGGAGTGGCCGTGAGCATGCATGCCACTGTACTCCAGCCTGGGCAAAAGAGTGAGACTCCAACACAAAAAAAAAAAAAATGCAATCGGCTGGGCATAGTGGCTCAAGCCTGTAATTCCAGCACTTTGGGAGGCTGAGGTGAGGGAACTGCCTGAACTCATGGGTTTGAGACCAATCTGGGCAACGTGGCAAGACCTCATCTGTACAATAAAAATCAAAAAATTACCCGAGCAAGGTAGTGCACGCCTGTAGTTCCGGCTACTTACAAGGTTGAGGCGGAAGGATCACCTGAGTCTAGTAAGTCGAGGCTGTGATGGCCATGAGTGTGCCACTACACTCCAGCCTGGTGACGAAGTGAGACTCCAACTCATGAAAAAAAAAAAAAGAGTAAGCGGGGAATGAGGAACTGCAACTTAAACACAAATTATACACCCAGTTGTTTAGGCCCTCTGATCTGTCCTGCATAAATGTTTTAAATCATCTGATATCCACCCAGGTATTTAGACCAGGGCCCAAAACTCCAATGCCTCCTAGGGACCAGACATCCAGCTGAGTGATAGGGGCTGGCTGTCAGAAGATAGAGGGGCTGTGGCAAACTGGAGACATTCTAAAAAAAGGCCCTGGCAGGACGATCTTCCAGGCTCTCAAGCACCCCAGATAGTCACACAGACACTTCCAGTTTTAAAACACCGTCAGCCACGTGCAGTGGCTCAAGCCTGTAATCCCTGCACTTTGGGAGGCAGAGGCAAGAGGACTGCCCGAGCTCAGGGGTTTGAGTCTAGGCTGAGCAACATGGTGAGACCTTGTCTCTGCAATAAATAAAAAGACTGGCTGGGCGTGGTGTGTGCCTGCGGTATCAGCTACTTGGAAGGCTGAGGGGTTAGGATCGCCAGAGCCCAGCAGGTGGACGCTGGGGTGGCTGTGAGTGTGCCACTGCACTCCAGCCTGGGCAACACAGTAAAACTCCTACTCCATAAATTTAAAAAAATAAAAAAACACTATCCACTCATCCAAATACCAAGACACAGATCTGGCTCGCGGGACTGTGACCTCAGGGGAGCCTCCCGGGGGTGCTCTTACGCCCTGGGGCCTAAGGGCCTGACAGGCACGAGCCGACCTGCTGGGCGGTGCTGAGCATCCCTCGAGGCCCACGAGCACGC